AAGAGCGGTGGCGTTTGAAACAAATAACAGTATAAACAACAGAGATAAAGTCATGCGGAGGTAAAGTATGAACGCGTTTTGTTATAAGATATTAATCCCTTATTACCCAGCGTATCCCAAGTTAATGTTGTATTAATATTAAAGGCAGAACTTTACTGTAGTATCAAGTTTGTGTGCCTGAGGTAACGTTAGACTGTGTACGTAAAGGTGATAAACAACCAATGGTTGAAAAAGTGTTTAACCGTTGCTTAATAGTGCATATATATATATATTTTAGTATTTACAATTATTGTAACTTTTAAATTAATTTCTACAGCAGTTATTTTCACAATACAAATATAAATGACTAGTATTACTGTTATTAGAATTTAGCTCAAGGAAATTGCTAGTGTTTAAAGTCTAATCTTTACCCCTATAAAGCCTACTGTATGAATTTCTAAAGCCTCCAAATTATTAACATGATCTAAACTTTGCATTCTGCTGTCAAATCTGAAAAATTGACTGATTTTGATCAAGTAAGCGTCAGAATAACTGCAGTAATATCTCCAGATGAACTCTTACTGGACTGAAGCAGCTCAGCTTTAAGTTACTTGATTCTCCGTCAATCATGTTTTAGAGTCTCAAATCTGAAGATCATTGAAGAACAGTAAAATTTATAATGAATATGTTATATGGTGCATATATTTAGCAAAATGCCCCTCTACAGTTTATTTTTCTGGCTGACTAATGAGTTTATGGTCACCAAATATGTGTTTTTCTGAGGTAAATGTGACGTGACATTGTTTACAAGCCGTTATATTGACATCTTTGCGCGGATGAAACACTGATTGAGCGATTACATAAGACAGGATACAGATTGTAAAGTTGTACTCTTTCTTTTAACTTACCTTCGGATGTTTAGTCATGTTTATTTTATGCTATAACTAGTAATAAAGTGGAGGAGATGATCAGTTCACTGAGGCGCTACAGCGATCACTCCACATTAAACAGCGCCAAAACGGCATTTATTGTTTGAATACTGCAATACAATGGACAGAATTTGAAATCTGAGACTTTGTTTCATATTAAAAGTACCAAAGCACAATGCTTATTGCGATTTATTGGATGGGAAGTGTCCTTCAACGTTCCGTCCATTAACTGAAAACAGGCTAGACTAATCGATTCTTGGGATTTAAGAATCGATATTGTTCTGTAAATATAATATCGAGATTAATATCGAGATATCGATATTTTTTACCCAACCCTAGTGAGTATTGTGAGGGTTGAAAGGCACTCTATGGTGATATTGACCCAAATATCAGCATCTGCAGAAAGTTTGAGTCTCTGAATAAAACTGAGCTGTTTTTTTCCTCCATATTCTCACAATATCAGACTATATGAGCCATAGAAGAATGATGCATCAAATATGAAACTCTCTTCTTTCTTTTATGTTTGGTCTAAAGTTTTTCAGTAAACCGTTTAAGATTGTCAGATTGCTTATTTCATATGTCAGGCTTTACTTGCTTAATCCACCAACTTTTTGATTGTTTTCAACAGTGAACCAAGTTTTTTTTTTAAGCTTTACAAGTTTGGACACCAAACCAAATGACCCAAATTCTGACGCCAAACGGACTCGGCTTGCACCAAACGTCATCAGTAAATGACTTGGTGTTATATGCAAAATCTTTGGAAATATGTTGTTGAATTTCCTTGAAGATTGAGGTTTCTTTTCACTTCTCCAGCTTTTCATTTGAGTTGACTTCAAATCACAAGGCGATGGCAGCAGAACGGCACGTCAAAATGCTTGCGGTTAAAGGAGAAGTGCTTGCTTTCCAGTACAAGAGTTTTAGCTCAAAAACCAGAGATCATCGCAAAGGCTCGGAGGTTTCATTCTACAGTCTGTCCTTCGCCCAAGACTCGCAGAGCTTCTCCATTAGAGATCGTAACTTGTCTCTGATTCACAAGGACAGCTCTGCAGAAACGGACGTTGTTCATTGTTGCTCCGCTCTGGATATTCAGCAGAGGCAAAAAGTGCCTTGTGTTTTACTGAGACTGTGCAAGAAGAGGACGTCTGCTTTTAAATACATGCTTTACTCCATATGCACATCCACCGATGCAAAACTTCATGCTGAGTTTGTATTGCCGTACGAGATGAGAGATAATATTTCAATATTGCTCGGCCCTACATTGATTTGGAGTCATGAAAACTCTGTTTTTTATACATCCTCGCAAACCAGTGGAGTGAAAGAAGTGCCAATTCCCATGACGGTCAATTTTATTGGCGAACTTCCTCTTCGCCAAAGAAAACTAGTGATTCAAGGAGCCCAAAATGTGCCAAGTGATCAATCTAAAGTGAAAAACATACTGTATTTCATAGAAGATGGAAGAACCTTGAGTGCTGCATGTCTTGTACCTGATGCCTACAGCTCTGTGATCCAATGCATGATGGTTCTGTCGGCTGAAGAATTCGACGGTGGTTGGAGATCGGCTGTTCTGGCGGCCACAAGCATGAAACAGCTGGTTCGTTTTGAGAACGGACTTCCTCTGGATGTTTGTCTCCTTCCTTACGAGCAACCGCTGAGTATTCAGGTGATTCACTCTCTGAAAAACGACGGTCTCGTTGTCGTAACCTTCAGTCAGGGAAACGTCTGCGCTGTGTGGAAAGACACTTTCCAGGTGGGTGTTTAATTGTGGTGTTGAAGTATTAAAGGAGTAGTTCGTTCAATTAGCTAAAAGATTTGTAGAAATGTAGCATTGCATCAGTGTCTCAGCAATGGATGCTCTGCAGTGAATGGGTGCCGTCAGAATGAGAGTCCAAACAGCTGATAAAAACATCACAATAATCCACAAGTAATCCACAGCACTCCAGTCCATCAGTTAACATCTGGAGAAGACAAAAGCTGAAACACATCCAGCATTACGATGTTTTTAACTAAAATACATTGAGTCCATAATGCATAATAACTCTTCCTCCAGTGGAAAAGTGTTCTGGTCTGAATCGGGAGAGAAATCTGCACAGATCAAGCAGCGTTTAAACAGCTCTGAACAAATATGTGGCTGGATTTTGATGCGAGAGACAACAGCAGATGCACTTTTTCACTGGAGGAAGCGTTATTATGGATTATGGACTCATATTTTGGACTTGTAATAATTATGGAATTATTATTTTGGCCAGAAGCAACGGTTAGAAGTTAAAAACGTCTTAATGCTGGATTTGTTTCAGTTTTTGTCTTCTCCAGATGTTAACTGATGGACTGGAATGCTGTGGATTACTTGTGGATTATTGTGATGTTTTTATCAGCTGTTTGGACTCTCGTTCTGATGGCACCCATTCACATCCATTGCTGAGACAGTGATGCAATGCTACATTTCTACAAATCTGATGAAGAAACAAATTCCTCTTCATCTTGGATGGCCTGAGGGTGAGAATTGTCATGCAAATAATGTCACAATGTGCTAAAAAATAAGATATTTTGCTTAAAGACAAGCCTGTTTTTTTTTCTTTTCTTTTTTTTTTGGATTTTGAACGCAAATAATGATCTGGATGTGTTCCTGACAGGCTTTGCCAAATTATGCATTTGGCAGATGCGTTTATCCAAATGATCTTTCATTGCATTTCACATTTCATTAGCTCATGCATTGCCCTCTAATTGTAGGTTAAGCTGTTATCATCATAAAACAGTGATTATAATTTTGATGTCTTTTTAATAGAGATTATTTCTAGGACAGTATTTGTTGCGTCTAAAGCAGTGGTTCTCAACTTTTTTGACTCCCTATCGTTTGAGACGATATTTGAAGGTATTTCTGCTGTAAAGCTATAATGACAAAGCTGCTAATTTTGCAAATATTTTTATTTACAGAAACTAGGATTGGCAATATATTAAAATAATTAAGGCAAGAGAGATTTGGCTTTTTTAACATGTTCTTTCAGACTAGTGGAAACAAAACATCCAAAATACACATTGTGCACAAGTGTTTATTTTATTGGACTTTATCTATTTCAATGATTTCAATTACAAAACATCTTTACAAGTTTGTATCTCCACTTCAGCAGCACTTTACACACACCAAACAGTTCTATTCCTGTCTATGCTCTGAATGGTTTTACTAAGGGGTTTGTTCATATTATTTATCATTCACATGATTTTATGCAACATTTTAATCATAAAAAAACATGGTAGAAATGTTTTTTTTTTCTTCTTGCTGTTGACCGTATTTTCTTATTTATGATAAAAAAGAGAAATCCAAAAAACTTTAACTCTAACACAGTATGTCAACAAAATCAAACAAGCATTTTGATTTTTGAACCTGAATTTATCCGATGTTCATATTTATCTACTGGAAATATTTGCAAGTTAGTGCATATTTAAATAAATGTCTCATTTACATATAATAAAAAAACTGAAGACTGACATTTTATAATCCTATTCACCTGGAGTGTCTTGCATTAAACTAAAATTATTTAAATTTTAATATTTTAATTGTAATTATTTTAATTTAATTATAGGATATGGTTCTTAAAATAAATAAAAAAATAATAATTCTCAGCTGCAATTTCCACCTGATAACATTTTCTGAACTTGACAAACCCAGAAAAATGTATATTCATTTTGGAAATATGTTCTCAACTTTTAAAGATAATATTCATTTTCATAATTTTTTTATTTTTCAGGTCTAGAAATTCACTTTTAAAATTCCCTCAAATATTATCCAGGTTTTACAAGACGTTGTGATGTAAAATAAAAAAACATAAATAAAAATGCATTTTTTTGGGGGGACACATTTAAATTGTCCCCACAACATCAGCTTATTAGGTCTTTTACCTTATTTTATTGCTAATTTT